AAAAGAAAGAGTAGGAGATTTTAAAATGAAGAAATCTAGATCGGGTTCTTGAGTCACTACTTATAAAGTATGCGTTCTTGGGCAAAGAACTTATAATTCCTCCAAACCTCAGTTTTTCATTTGAAAAATAAAAGCAATAAAAAATAAAATAACATCCAAAAAAAAATACTGAAAATGTTCACACACTGAGCTAAGTACTTCCTATACATTAGGTTATCTGACCTTCATACAAACCCCATGAGGACTTTTCATCTCTATTTCAAGAGATAGCAACTGGAAAAGACGCCTGCCATGGGCAATGGCTAGTAAGTGGCAGCTGAAAGTTAAAGCCAGGCCAGTCTGACTCCAAAGCCTCACCTTAACCACAACGTGCTGCCTCCCAGCTGATTGTCCTTCCCAAGACCACTGAGATCACAGTAATGCATTCACTTACATTATACCTCTGATTTTTTTTTTTTTGAGAGATTTTCACTGTAGGGCGTGTGCGCTCGCCAGACAGACAGAGAGAGACATAGAAACAGAAAGCGAGAAATCACCCCCCAGGGGGGATGGTCACGCCGCAATCCCTTTTCCTCCATTCTCCTCTCGGGATCTTGGGCACGCACGCACACATGCCCAGCGTGAGTTTTAAGCCACCGGGTCCGGGACGCGAACTGCGGTCGACTACGTGGGAGTCCAGCGACATAGCCATTACACTAACTGCTGGCTCCCTATACCTCTGATTTTAAAACTGTGAAAGCATGGTTGTTTCTATTTTTCCTACTAAAGACACTGAGGCATAGATAGGATAAGTGACCTGCTACAATGTCCCATCACTAGCAAGTGACGAAGCTCATTCTAGACTGTTCTCTTGATTTCCTTTCCATCTAATCATACTGTATCTCACAATAGAGACTTGCACTTGTCAAGAAACATACCAAACACATACACACACACAAAACATACATAAAATTTTATTTTGCACGTGTACTCGCTAGAGCAGGAAAGCAGAACACAACCTCATGAGACAGGGTTATGCCACAATCCCTTCTCCTCCATTTCTTCTTCCTTTTGGAATTTTGGGGACACATGTGCTAGGAGTATTTCCCAAGCTATCAGGTCTGGGACAGAAAGAGCACAGCTGGGATTGGTAGATGGCGTAATGGTTACGTTGTTGGACTCCCACCTAGTCGACCCAGTTTCCAGTCCCAGACCCAGTGGCTTAAAACTCACGCCAGCCATGTGCGTGTGCATCATGCTCAAAATCCCAAGAGGAGAATGGAGGAAAAGGAATTGCAGCATAGCCATCCCCCCAGGGGGTGATTTACTGCTTTCTGTCTGTTTCTTGGGCGAGCACAGGCGCCCTATAATAAAAAGCTCTCTCAAGAAAGAAAGAAAGAAGGAAAGAAAGAAAGAAGGAAAGAAAGAAAGAAGGAAAGAAAGAAAGAAGGAAGGAAGGAAGGAAAGAAAGAAAGAAAGAAAGAAAGAAAGAAAGAAAGAAAGAAAGAAAGAAAGAAAGAAAGAAAGAAAGAAAGAAAGAAAGAGAAAGAAAGAAAGAAAGAAAAGAAACAGCATAGTTGGCCACATGGGATCTGGCTGCCTCAACCATCAGGCCAGGGAACATATATTTTTTTAAAATGGAGAGCTAAAGATTCAGTAAGGTAATTAGCCATGCTCTGCTCACAAAATGAAAGAAACCAAAAGGATTTTGATACACTGAAATAAGGAATATGAACATATTCCCTTAGTGATAACTTGCAAGTAACAAGCCACATCTGACTGTGCCCAAGCTACCTCATCTTTTTTTTTTTTTTTTTTGAGAGATTTTTGCTACAGGGTTTGTGCGCTCACCAGACAGACAGAGACAGACAGAGACAGAAAGTGAGAAATCACCCCCCCCAGGGGGGATGCCCACACCGCAACCCCTTCTCCTTCATTCTGCTCTCAGAATCTTGGGCACGCACGCACATGTGCCTGGCATGAGTTTAAGTCACTGGGTCCAGGACGCGAACCACGGTCAACTACATGGGAGTCCAGCGACATAGTCATTATGCTAACTGCTGCTCCCTATCTCATCTGTTAATTAGTTAGTACTGAAAGAACCCAAGACCAATTAAGAAAGACAGAGCTAGCTAAAACAATACAACAAAAATGAAGACTGAGTTTAACTTCAAGAATCTAACTAGTCAGATGCCAGAGTTACACATATCATGGAGCAAGAAGAGAAAGAATGGGATGCTAGGACAAGCACACACATCCAGTTATACCCACAGGTAATTTCTTTTCCTGCTTCTAGTTCAGGAAACAAAGTAAAGACCAATCCTTTTGCCTGATTACTCTTTATGTGAACAGAAAAATAAGAATTCTGTGGGACTGGTTTCAAGAGGTCTTTATTCTGCTCAATCTACAAAATTCTAGAAAAGGATAAAGTACCACAAGACACAACACAAGGTTGGTCTAATGATAATGCAATATATGGATAGGATCTTCTTTCTTACATTTCTGTAATATATAGCCCCAAACAAATCATTATACATTCTGTAATAGATGAGGACTTTGGAAGGGATGCATCAATTCGTATTCTTGAGCATCAGATGACTAAGTTGGAAACATTAGCAAACTCCCAAGAAGGGACAATTCAGAAGCTATAATGGGCTTAGTGCCGCTATTTAAAGTAATGAAGCATTTTCTCTCCTTTCTGGATTCATTTCACCAAACGATTTCCTCAGCAGGTCAGATATAGATTTGCAGCAAAATGGAAACCATTTTCCAGGAATAAAACAACTGATCCCTATAGAGCAGCTGACTCACTATTTCTGAATAAAAATTTGATCTGACATGCACAGACCCCCTCAGAGTGCTGTCACTGGTATCTTCAACCTCTTCCTAATCCTGCCAGACCCTCGTATCTCATGTTTACAAACACTGTTCATGACAGAGTCACTGTGTGACCTGGAGCAAGTTGCTTAACTTCTTCTTGCATTCATCTTTTGGCTCCAAAACTGGAATTATAATAGTACTCACCTCATGGAGTAGCTGATGAGTATTAACTAAGTGCTTAAAAAGGCCTTGGCTCATTAGTACGTACTCAGTAAACCTCACCTATCATATTATTGCCGTTATAAAACAAATCTTTCCCTTCATATCAACAAAGAACCCCTTACTCACATTTTTCCCTTACAGTCAAAGCCTTGGTTCAGAATTTCCCAGTCTACTAGATATGAAGAGAAAACACTTTTGTTTCTAGTGCCCAACCCTTCAAGTTTAGGTCTCCAAATGAGAAGAACTAACTGAAGCCACCTCATTCTATCTGGCACTTTACAAGATTTCTGTGGCAGTTTTATGTTCATTAATTCATCTGATTCTCCTAACAAGATTGTGGAGACAGAATAATGATTTTTATTAGCCCAACTTTATAGGCACAAGATAGTGAAGTCCAGATTCATGCTTTGCTTAATTATTTAATTATCTGCTTATTAAGTGGTTATACTGCTACCAAAAAGCGGAAAGGCCTAAATGCCAGAGTTATGGTCCCCACATCAGTGATTGTTCAACTATGCAAAGTAGGATATTCTAAAACCCCCTTTGGAGCAATTGAAACCATTCCATTAATTTATATTAACTAAAGTACACACTTAATTCTACTTAATTCATATTTCCCTAGTTTCTACCAAATGTCCTTTTTCTGGTGTAGCAGGAGACATTACATTTGCTTGTTATGTCTCCTTACACTCTTCTTGGAGTGGCGACTTCTCAGAAGTTCCTTGTTTTTGATTACCCTGAGTTTTTATCCCCTCTTGCTCTTGCTCGCGTTTCTTTTTGCTATAGTGTATGTGCACTTGCAGGAGAGACAGAGAGAAAGAAAGAGAAAGAAAGAAATCACCCCCTCCCCTCCAGGGGACGGTCATGCCACAATTCCTTATCCTCCATTCTCCTCTTGGAATTTTGGGCATGCACACATAAGTGCCTGGCGTGTTTTTCAAGCCATCGGGTTCAAGACTCAAATCTCAGTCAGTCATTTGGGAATGCAGCCACCTTAACTTCCATGCCACCTGCTAGCCAAACGGTGACAGTCTGAGTACTGGTCAAGTATTTTGTAGAATGTCCCTCAGGCAGAATGTGTGTGATGTTTTTCTCATGATTAGACTGGGGTTATGGGTTTTGAGGAGGAAGATGACAGAATGAAAGTGCCATTCTCATTATATCACATCAAGGGTACATGCCATCATCATGGCTTATTATCGATGATAACCTTGACCACCTGGCTGAGCTAGTGTTCATCAGGTAATACAAAGTCACTTTTTTCTTATCCCCTCTTTGGAAGAAAGTCAACACACAACAGCACATACTTAAGGAGTGAGGTGTATCTATGTAAATCTATAATTCTGCACGGAAGATTTGTGTTTTCCATCATTCATTCATTCAATCATTTATAGTAGTATGGACTCATTGACATTTATTACACAGTTTGGGTTATAATATAATACTACTTTATTTTGTTGCCCAAATAATTCCAGCTTTGGTCACTAGTAGCTCCCTCAGTTGGTTCCTGCTTCTCTGACATACCCTCAATCATTGTTTTTTTGTAGCACAAGATGCTCCGGGCTCATCTTGTACGTTTCTTGCCCCAGTCCTAGAATCAGCAGTAAAGCTTTCCAAGGAGTCCTGGTTCCTTCATTGAAAACCAAGATTGGGGCTTCCATTCTAGTTATTTTCTGGCCACATAACTGCTAACAAAGGTGTATCACTCTGGCTGGCTGTACTGATGTGAACTGAGAGCATTATCAGAAGAGGTCAGCTCTAGAGAATAACAATCCCTTAAATTACTTTTTCTTTCAGTAAGTCTAGGCAGAAAAAAATGCAAAGTATTTCCATTATAAATTAAGTAGGTCAAACCACCCAGCTTGTTGTATTGTAAACCAATCCAACACAGTTACAACCCAACTGCAGAAAGATCCTTAGAATAACAGTGTCATCTGTCGGGGGTCATCAGGGAGGATACTGATCGTATCTTCAGCTTTGCCACATAACAGACACAGCATGGTATATTCCTAGAACAAGATAAAGTACATAATTACCTTCAGGAATAAGGAAAAACACACTTAAGACTCTACAAGATGCCATGGTCTTCTTTCTGTACATTTGATCAATTTCTTCAACATCTACCAGCAATGTCTTAGATTTATTTTGTGTATCTCAGAGCCTTTGTTTATACATATTAAATACAAGCTGATATTCTATTTACTGTATATGTAAGAATGTCACCTTCAAAATATATGGCTATTTCTTGACCTTAGAAAGCAAATAGAGCTTAGTGCTATAATGAAGCAATATGAGTACAGGTCCCTACAGACAAATTTCTGTTCTTAGAGATGTTCTTTCTAGGATATTTAACACTGATATATAACAGAAATTACTTTTTAAAAAAAGGGGAAAAATTCCTAAACCAAAAAAGCTGTTTTTATCTATTCTAGGGAGATAAACAATTATATTAAATTCACTAGCATGTCATACCTCCTATTTAACTAGCTACTTGTCTGAAATTTGGCCTATTTATGGAGTTTTGTTTCTTGGGCTTAACAAATGTCCAGACTAATGACAAAAGGAACTTTATTTTAGGCAAAAGTCCTCAGGGCAAAGTTCTGTTCTTATAACTGTCTCTTTCTAGAAATATTAAATATAGTCATCGACTATAGTGACTCCTCTTTTTAAGGGAGGGATTTTTGCTATAGGGCACATGCACTCATGGACAGAGGCAGACAGAGAAAAAGAAAGTGAGAAATCAACCCCTGGAGGGATGGTCACACCAGATTCCCCATTCCATTCTCCTCTTGGGGTTTTGGGCACGCATATACGCACACCCAGCCTGAGTTTTAAGTCACCCAGTCTAGGACTCGAACCATGGTGGACTACACAGGAGTCCAGGGATGTAACCATTATGCCATCTGCTGGTTCCCAAGACATATATATATATATATTTAACTTTTTGTTTAAAAACCCATTATCAGGGCCAGCAGGTGGCATGGTGGTTAAGGTGCTGGACTCCTGCATGGCCGACTGCGGTTCATGTCCCACACTTGGTGGCTTGCTTTCTCATTTTCCCTCTCTTTCTCTCTGGTGAGCATATGTACCCTATAGCAAATTAAAAAATAATAATAATAAAATTAAATAGATAATTCAAAGAAATAAGAACCCATTATCTGCTTTCAGAAAACATCTATGTTCAATTTATAAGTATTTTGGGACCAGTAGTTAGCGTAATGGCTAGTCGCTGGACTCCCATGTAGTTGACCGTGGTTCAAGTCCTGGACCTGGTGGCTTAAAACTCATGCCAGGAGTGTGTGCGTGCGTGCCCAAGATCCTGAGAGGAGAACGGTGGAGAAGGGATTGTGGCATGGCCATCCCTCCTGGGGGGTGATTTCTGGCTTTCTGTCTCTGTGTCTGTCTGTCTGGCGAGTGCACATGCCCTATAGCAAAAACCTCTCCAAAAAGAAAAAAAGAAAAAGAATGTATTAGTATTTCTACAACTAATGTTGAGATTGTTAGCTGTCTGAAGAGGGATCAGCTGAGGCAATTTGTGCTTTTTGGTCCTGGACAGTCACTAGAGAGGGCTGCAGAGGTAAACAATGACTGAGACAAGCAACTGCCTTCATCTTCCTGTTGGTGAATTCAGCAGGGGAGCTTAGTGGTAGCAGTATAAGGACTGTTTCCTAAAGACAACACTTAGTTTTAAAGTCTACTCCACACATGGTAGAGTACACAGAGTTTCAAATTCAAGAGAACAAATATAAGTCTTGTGAATTAAAAATAAGATAATACCCACCCTCTCCAAGGTCTTTTATTGCTGTCAAGCACTTCTGCTTTTTTCCACCAGGCATTACTAGTGGGATAGCAACCTTTTACTGGAAATGCAGAAGAAAAAAGTAATAGCGTCCAAAGGGAAAATGTGTGATGCTAGACAGGAATCTGAGTTTTCAACCAAGCTAACCACTGACAGGTTTATACTGAGAGTCTTCCTGCCCTCCAATATGCTGGGTTCAGTGGCAGACATGAGTCTATACCCACACAATTTATAATCTAATATGGGGTGGAAAAAGAAAACAAAACCCTAACATATGATTTAATCTGTTAAATCAGTGAAACTGATTACAACTGTACTCTTTCATTTATAGGTGGTTTGGAATCCAAATTTCATTGCAAGTCAATTGTTTGGAATTCAAAAGCAGTTTCCCACAGAAATGATGTTATGCACAGCAATTAGGTTCCCAGAAAAAAACAAAAGTCTTGTAAATTTATATTGTACAAGTACTATAGAACCTAACCGTATATGGCAGTGCTTTGGTGGGAAAATATGTCTAGAATTCTAACTTGGGATGCCAGAAACACATGACCCTGTGCTGCCAGGAATAGGGTAGGATTAGGACACTTTTTACTAGAACCAACTAAAGTGGGAGAATAATACCCCATTACCCCAGCCATTCATGGGGACCCTCGCCTGAGGGTGTTCGGAGGTAGAGATTTGGAAAGGTAAAGTGGGTGGAATTACCTTTGTGTAAGGCAGACCGTTTGTTTTACTAAAGGGTCCCTTGGCCCTTCCTCACTATTATCACCTATTAATTCTGGTCCCAAGTCCTCTCCTTCCCTGGCCCACAGAGGAACAGAAAGCAGTCTTGAAGCTCCTCTCGTTTCTTGAGGTACACACATAGCCCATTTAAGGTTTCACCTGACTTTTTGTCAGGGAAACTTAAAAAATAAAGGATATCTGTAATCATGTATAATGTATTTTCTATTTAAATCCTGTATTTCTGTCCCCACCTTCGCCTCTACTTTTGCCATCAGAAAAACCTAACTTTGTTCAATTATAATATTATGGTTGTTTTAAACAGAATCCTTAGCCTTTGAGATCCATAACCTAGAAATACCAGAAAGATAGTGATTTGTTCAAGATTTGCTTCAAAATAATCTTGTGGAAAGATGTGGGAGTGGCAAGGTGACTGGAGGCTGGGCAGTAGGAGGTTAATACACGGTTCTGCCCACTTGTGATTACGTTTACATTCCCATAGGACATTTAAAATAAAACAATGTTGGTGAGTGGGGAATCCAATCTTGAACTTGATCTACCTCTGGGAAGGGATGGGGCTGGGACAGGGTGGGGATGAGGACAGCTGGGGGTGCCTATGGTCAGCAGGCTGAGGTGGAAGCTCCCAAGTGGCCGTTCATCTGAGTCAGGGCTCAATGTAGGGATGAGAAAAGTTCAGAAAAGCAGTATAGGGGTTAGCAGGTGGCATGGTGGTTAAGGTGCTGGAATTCTCACATGGCCAGTCATGGTTTGAGTCCAGACCTGGCGGCTTGCTTCCTCACTCTCCCTCTCCCTCTCTCTCTCTGTCTTTCTCTGGCAAAAATTCATGTGAAAAATAATATTAATAATAATAATAAATAAATAATTCTTAAAAAAAAATAAAAAAGAAAAGCTATGGGGCTGGCAGGTGGCGTGGCCAACCATGGTTCAAATCCTGGACCCAGTGGCTTATTTTTGCACATTCTGTCTCTCACTGGTCAAATTAAAGTAAATAAAATTAAATAATTCTTTTAAAAAAAAGGAAAGCAGTACGGGCTAGACTATCCACAAGGAGATGGAATTTAGGTTCAGCTCGGAGGTAAGATTTAGTTGGCTTGATGTTAGAAAAAGGGACAATTCAAATCAAGAAAAAACCAAATAAATAGAATATGGAAGTGAGCAACCACATTGCACGTGGAGTAACAGGAAATTGCACTGTGCCTCCGTGGAGGTCAGTTAGCAGGGGAGTATAGGATGACGTGTTTACAGCACAAGGGTTTGATGACAGTGTGCAAAACTACACCACAGCTTGGGGAAATGCTGAAGGTTTCAGTGGGTATGGCCCTTGACATGGTAGGAGAGTAGGAGGTAGGAGAGTCAGGAAATAAGAAAGAGAAAAACAGTGAAAGAAGGGATGGCAGATGGGGTGTTAGGATTAGAGAAGGAAATTGAAAGATAACCTGGGGCTGGCTAAAGGCTGTGGGTGGATCCAGCGTCAGTACATGTGTGCCTGGAGTACTCAGGCAAGTCTCTGGACTTGAACCAGGAACCTCCTCATGTGGGATGGCCTCACAGAGCACTGTGTTTTACTGCTGCACTATTGATCTGGCTCCACAGTGATTTTAAAAGAGAGGAACAAGTCACGCTATAAACCTTAAGGAAAGAAATGCTTCAAAAATGCCATAATGAACAAAACCAGATCCAGAACAGATAAGAATGGAGGGAAAGTGATGGGATTTGGCAAGATTATAGGAAACCAAGAGAGAACAGTTTTAGTAAAGCAAAAAACGAAACTCAGCTTTTTTGTTTGTTTGTTTGTTTAAGGTTTTTTGCCGTTAGGACACTGTTGCTATCTGAGAGAGAGTGAGAGGGGAAGTGAGAAATCACCACTCTCCAGGGGGGAATAGCTACATCACAATCCATTCTGCTCCATTCTCTTCCTGGGATCTTAGGCAGGGACACACACACACACTGGATCTTGGGAGGACACACACATGCACGCGCACACACACACACACACACACACATGCATGCAACTGCACGCATGTCTGGCATAAGTTTCATGACACCAGGAGTCTGGAACTTGAATTACAGTCCACCATGTGGGAATCCAGTTCCTTTAACTACCACACCACCTGTTGGTCCCTAAAAACCAGTTTAAATGACAGGACTAATAAACCATTTGTAAGACACACTTTGATTTGTGACTTTTGTGAAGACAGTTTTGCCTGTCTCAAATTTCTTTCTCTCAATTTGCACAGGTAGAAGAGGTAGTTAATATTTGTTAGTACTGCATCTAGATTTTCAAGGGTACTTTTATTATCCTCCTTCCCTCGAGAACATTTATCCATGTACCTGAAATTCATCCATGATACTGAACGTATACTCATGCCTGGCTATTACATGATGACAATTCTTACACAGATCTGCAGAAACAAAGAGAAGTTTGCACGATTAGGTCCTAGAAAGCTCTTTAAAACAGTAATATTTCTATCCCCAGCAATAATATGGCTGAAAAAAGAACTTAACTCTGTCATCTTTAACACAGCATGAAATCCATTTACAATATCTATCTTGACATAAAATTCAGAATCTGTCACATAGCAACACTACATAATTAAAGGTCTGAACTCAGAGACTTAAAGTGCAAATATTGATTCCCACTAAAAGCTCTCTAAGGTAATTAATGAACAGATTTTAAGAGGATTTCTTAAACTAGTTGGACCTATCAAACTACACAACATTTTTTTATTCTCAAGAATGATAGAAACTGTACTACTATAATCATAAAAATCAGAACTAAACATTAAAGTGGATTTGATGGTAACAAAGGGATCTAATAAAAATAATATAAAAACTGGGACCAGCAGTTAGTGTAATGGCTATGTCGCTGGACTCCCACGTAGTCGACCGCGGTTTGCGTCCTGGACCTGGTGGCTTAAAACTCACGCCGGGCGTGTGAAAAAGGTTTTAAGTTAGAAGAATCTTTTTCTTTCCTTTTAGCATATACTCTCTCTAAACTGTGTTTTGTTCCCGGCAATGGAGCATGGAGATTAAGAGCAAGGGCACAGGATGTGCCTGGTTTGAGTTCTGGTTCCACTACCTCCTAGCTTGGAAACCTCCCAGTTACTTAACCACAGAGTGCCTTTGTTTCCTTATCCCAAAAGGTTTTAAGTCAGAAGAATCTTTTTCTTTCCTTTTAGCATATACTCTCTCTAAACTGTGTTTTGTTCCCGGCAATGGAGCATGGAGATTAAGAGCAAGGGCACAGGATGTGCCTGGTTTGAGTTCTGGTTCCACTACCTCCTAGCTTGGAAACCTCCCAGTTACTTAACCACAGAGTGCCTTTGTTTCCTTATCCCTAGAACAGCAGTAACAACAGGATCTACTTCATTGTGTGTTTGAGATAAATAGGTGAACAAGTAGGTAGAAAGTATTTAAAGCAGTATCTGGCACACAGTAAACACTCAAGAAATCATAGTTTTTTTATTTATTTATTTATTTTTATTTATTTATTTTTTGGAGAGGTTTTTGCTACAGGGCGCGTGCGCTCGCCAGACAGACAGAGAGAGACAGAGAGATAGAAAGCAGGAAATCATCCCCCAGGGGGGATGGCCACGCCGCAATCCCTTCTCCTCCATTCTCCTCTCGGGATCTTGGGCACGCACGCACACGCG